TATTTTTCCCTCCACGATCACGGATGTTGGGTGGATGGGTGCACAACCCAACCCAACCCCCCCCCGGGCGGGCGGGGGGGGAGGGGGAATTCTGGGAGTTGAAGTCCACACATCTTCAAGCTGCCAAGGTTGAGAAACGATAAAACTCTCAAAGTCCAAGGGGCCATCTACTGACAATCGTGGCACATGGAAGATTGTGACTTGGAATCTAAGAGGAATAAATAGGAAATAGCATGAATAAATCTAGGAAATAATTTAAAAATAGATATACTGCATGCTCTGAAACTAAGAGAAAGGGGAAGATCTGAATGAAGGTGGCCCCATTCTGTCGAGTTGATGAATACGTGCGGGGAAGTGGTGTTGGTTTAATTAAAAAAGAAACAGCTAAAATGTATGTCAAACAGGATTTTGTGTAATATAGAGTGTGGCGAGTACGTATGAAAACAGGAATGGGTTGGTAGATTCTGATCTCATGCCCCCTTATTTTACTAAAATTTGTCTGTTCTTTTGGCATTTCTCTCTCCATGAATGGCTCTATTCTTTCTAAGATTTCAAGCAAAAGTCTGCTTGCATGAGGAACTGGCGCAAACTGGCCATTCTGCACCCATTTTCTTTTATTTTCTTGCTTCAGGATAAGCATGCACGACACAAATCTTTTCTAATCTCTGGGCCATCCATTCTGGATACAAGTTTGTTCACATAGAGCGGTAAGCTCTTTAATGGCCTCGTCCCCTGCAGCTTTTGACAGTTATATGGATCATTGAGTTGCGTCTGGTGCTTTCCAATTTGACAGCTGGTGTTTTTCATGTCAGACCACCCTTTCTAGTGGAGTAAAATTCCTGACTACATTTTCAGTATATATTAAACAATCTGTCGTTCTACAATTCCCATTGTAAAACATTTCAATACTGAATCGTTTTTGCATTTTCCTTTAACTTCATTAATCTCCATTAGATTTCTTCCATGATCCCTTTAGTATATTCCGACCTTAGCTGTAAAAGAACGTTCATTGTGTGTGCGTGTGTGTTATATTCTCTCTTTTAACAAAACAATTTCTACATTTGCATAGCATGCTTTACCCCAATAAATCCAATTAGGGATAAATCTGATTCCTGGTTCCTATAACATAGAAACACAAGCTGTGCCCTGATGGATGGGACCCCTGGCCCATCTAGTCCAGCAGCCTGTTTTCCCAGTGGGTGTCGGGTTCAGCCCAAAGAACTGAAGACAATGCAAATACAGTTCTGTTGCGTTTATTAGCTTCAACCTCCAGACAGAAATCTCCC